GTGTAGGCAGCCAACGGATGCACCGTGCCATCTGCGGGCGGGTGTTTCACCGTGTCCCGGCTTATGCTCGCCTCAAACTCCTCCAGTGTTGCCCGCGCCTGATCGAGCAAACTCAAAATCAGCGCCTTGCATCAGATCAGGGCATGGATGTGTTTGTCTTCTACTGAGTTAATGAATGCAACGGAGCAACTCACGAGATTCTGCTCTTACATCTGTCTCAGGAAATTTTAATAGAGGTGGAGTGTCTATCCAGCACATACTTGCTGCAATGGCTGGGCAAGGTTGGATAAGAATTATGAGCGGAGGGGTACAACACATGGGAAATATTCAAGACCAATGCTCTGTTTGAGCATCATGGTGAGGAAAGGAAGGTGGGTGCCGTGCTTTTGTATTGGCTAGGAATGGGCTGACAAACCTCCTGGCGGAGCATGGCGGCCAGCTGGGCGAACTCTGCGAGGAAGCTTGCGGCGTGTGTTCCCTCTAGCATGGGCGCCAGCCTCGCCAGGGCTGCCTCCACCTGCTCTTGCATATCCAGCAGGCCAAACACCTGTTCCAGCAGCCGTCACAGCACTAACAATGACCATCCCAGAGAGCAATGGACCACATGACAGGTTGAAGCTGTTACAACAAAGACACATCATGCAAGCAACCGCCGAGCAACATGTCACTTGTTGCAAATTGTGACAAGGCATGCAGTGAGCAGGAGGAATACTGCAACTGCACACCTTCCTGGCTTAGCCAAGGATCTCAAGAGACGCAGAGTTGACTCCACATGTTCAGCAAATAAGATGTAATGGCCATGCAACCAACCTTTTTCCCAGTTCCACCAGCCTAAATGAGAAGACAGGAAAAGTCTTGTCAGCCGTTTTACTCACCTTTTCAGGCGTGCGTTTGCTGGCGACGATGAAGGCGCCAGCATGGGTTGCGGCGACAACGCTGCGGGTGACGACCTCGTCGAAGGCGGCCTCGGCCTCGGGCGCGCCCGGCGGCCACACCGCGTTCGCGGCCGCGCGCTCCGACTTCACGATGCCCACCAGCATCTTCAGCGCCGCGACCCACCTGCATGCAAGATGTGGACATTTTTTAGGGTTTATGTTTTTAGGGGGTTTCAGGGTCTGGGGTTTGGGGTTATTCTCAGTTCCTGTGGCTACATAATATTTTGGCGCGTAAGGGAGCAGCTATGACCTCGGAGCAAGCTCCAGAAGAGGACAGCACAATTTGCACCAGAGTATTTCTGAGCATGGAGTGCAGGAATCAGTCTTGTTCCCGACCCTTCAAAGAGGCAGCAAAGAGGCAGGAAACGGGTTGGTCAATCTGTGGAGGACCCCAAAGGCTGTCAGGCCATGCAACAGCGCAAGGGAGAGGACAGAAGGATGTGCGCACTCTTGGATGCGGGCGAAGAGTGAGCCGCGCGCTTCCTCCCCGGCTGACGCTGCATTCAGCAGCCCCGCCAGAGCCCTCTCCACAATCCCCCGCCGCACCTGCACATCCAGGGGTGTCTTTCGGAATAAGGTGCAAGGGAAATCACATTAGTCCTGATTATTAGGCTGATTCCAACTAACTTTAATAACATTCTCTTTTCCCATGTCCCTTCATCATCACGAGCCGGTTTGTTTCACTGCTTAATCCAGCAAAACGACTACACATGCCTGCACCGCACGAGAGATTCCACACTGACTCTTTCAACTGACAACTGACAACTATCGCTAAAAGTCTTGCAGATGCATGACCACAAAAGATTGCAAAGTTACTACTTTTCATATATCACTCCGAGACAGAAGAAACGAGGATGCGCACATCCACGTAGGCACCCAGGGCGCGGCGTTCATCGTTCCGTAGCAGGACTTCTGCAAGCGCCCGTAAATGGGTCGCCACCAGGGGTGGGATCACCACCACTGTGTCATCCATTTCGCCATCTCCCCCGACCATCTTGCCACCTGCATGGAATCCTAGACACTCATCCCGCTCACCTTCATTAGATGCCATGGGACACTATACTGGCCCAGGGATTCTGCGCTCAACAAGCAACCTCACCCAGTCTCGAATCCCCAGCAGAATACAGCCGTCCTAAACGAAAGGGCATGACTTTGGGAAGTGAAAACACCCTGAAAGACGGCCTGGCGCTTACTCGGAGCTTGTAGGCACCACCCACAGGGTTACTTGACCCTACACTATAAAATCCCAACTACACCAGGGGAAGAAGAGCGGGGCGGTTACCTGTGCGGGGAGTTCCCATAAGGGGCAGGGGCACCTGCCCGCCGGGCAGCCCAGACTCGCCACCCACACTGGAGGGGGCATTGCCGAAGAGCAGCGATGAGGCGGACGGCACGGTGGCATGCTGCTTGAGTGTCGCGGTGAAGTCGTCGAGCGCCAGCCGCATCGCGTCGCGCAGCAGCGCCGACGCGCACTGCAGCGCCGAGTCAGCCGTCGGCACCTGCCTGCACATGCCACACCATTGCATTTAGGAAGAAATAATAATATACTGTGTGCCCCAATCCCCAATCGGTACAACCCCAAGTGAAGTGTTCGAGAAGTTTTGCGGGGCAAAACAGGCAAGGATCAAATATCCGGCGACCCTAGTAGAGGGACCTACGGCCACGGGAACAAATGTCCCGTTTTTTCTTCCAGTGTTGTTCTGCATGAGGTGCCGTCCTCCACTGTCTGTTCGAAGAGTAATACTGTGCTCTGCATGCGTGCAGGCATGGAAAATGCAATCATGCATGCGCAGGTCTCGAAGTACTGCTTATCATCGACGCACTCCGAGCTGCTGCATAGATCTCAGCACACTGGCTTCTGCCAGTAGTCACTCAATTTTGAATACCCCCGAAGTCTAAGACGGAGGGGAGGAATCATTTAAAGTGTTGGCAAAAGCCCCAAAAAGTAACAGGCACTGCCCAGAGTCGAACTGGGGTTACTGGATTCAGAGTCCATTGTGATAACCACTACACTACAGCGCCTGATGTGTCATGCTGTGGTCCACCAGAATATTTGTCTGCACATCTTCTGCACCTGTGCTTTTCAAGGAAGTGGTTGGACGTCTCCAGGCGTTTAAGCGCTTTGAGAAATGCAGCCAAGTTGCTCCTGGGCCCAGCCAATATGGTGGCCTCCACCTGCGCCACATGTCCCACTCGATTTTCAAACTCCAAGCATGATTGAATCCCCAAACAGTAGCCCAGTGTCCGCGAGACCTCTCCATGTCACTTCTTCGAGCCAGCACTGAACGTTGATTGTGAAAAGTGATGGAAGGCGGGTGCAGTGGGAGCAAATGCCCCATCAGGGAGGATAACATAATTTATTTCTTTTTATTCTTTTTTAATTTGTTTTCTTAGGGTTTAGGGCTCAATCCTAAAATTATTATTTTAGTCACTAGTTTATTATATATTAGTAAAATATAGGTTGCTTACCTGGCGGGCTGTGTCCAGATGGCCCAGCATTTCCTCCACCTCTTCCCTGGCAAGCTTTATGTTCTTCTGCGCCGTGCGCAGCGCCTGTGCAGTTGCCCAAAACGTGGCTCAGTCAGTATATTTGCTGCTTGTGTGGGTTGCAGGTTGTTCTTTGTGGCCTTTACCGTGGGCTGCACAGTGACTAAATGCAGAGCTTGACAGCACACAGCATGAGGTGGATGCGCTGATAAGTGTTGCCATATTGGTGCATCCATGCATTCACTGTGGGGCAACAATAAAATGGCCACGAGGGACTCCCAAGTATCTCCTTGCTTCACCTGAGAACGCTGCGCTACGGCCGCCACCGCCAGCTGGAGGTCCGTGAGGCGCGCTGAATAGGCGTCCAGCGCGCCATTGAAGTCCTTCGCGAGGCTCTGGCTCCATGCCAGTCCCTCCCGAAGCTGCACCGCCCTGCAACATAAAACACTAGTGAAGCTGTGTACCTGTTGCATGGGAGACATCTTACAATTTCGTGTGAATGATTACGGTTGGAGAAGCTATGGAGCTGGGTTCAAAGGATTGAAGCTCGTTGGACAGGGGTAATGCCCTTCCAGATGGACCCCTGTCCATCACAAGTGGTATGCCTGGGCGAACCTTAGATGCAGGGCTTCTGCATTTGTATCTGTCATGCTGGTATCATCCTAAGAGACCACTGGAAGGTGCATCGCTGCTAAATTCGCTTTTGCTTACTGGATGTCAAAGTGCTGACTGAAGCACTGCCTTCCCTCTTCAGCTCTGACTCATATTTTGACTGCCTTCCCTGGTCCAGCTTCCTCGAGTGGTATTGCGCCCCTTGAATCTCAATAAGGAATCATGGCAATTCACCTCCAGATAGAGTAGACGCGTTCCTGCGTGTCACACATCCTTTGATAGAATCCAGACCCACTTTCTCATCCAGCTGGAAGGAAAGAAAGCTGGTGACGTCGACTTTAACGTTTCAAATATGTTGCTAATTATGATCATCCAACGTCAGGGATTGGGAAAAGCTGCTCCGCTGCGTTTGTCGTATGACAGGCTATAAGTGAATTGATCTTTCCTCACGGCTTAATCTCTCAACAGCCTGATGCTCTCGTCTCTTAGGAAACGATTTAAGACATCTATGGCACGGAGAGCCGCCCATTGTTAGTCGGATGTGGTAGCATGGGAATGTCAAAGTCTCCTGTGAAGAAGGAGATTTCTTGGACATGCCACTTTTACTCACCTCCATTTCGTTTTGTGTCTACCTTTGAGCTTCAAAGCTGCACAGGTGGATCCTTATGAAGGCAAGTATTGACAGGAAGTTGTCAAAATTAGCGTCTTTATAGAACTTCTCAACACTCGTCTGTTAGCGCGGTTACTTGTATGGTCACCGCTGCATATTCAGAATCAGAGGACAATGGAATGCTTCAACCAACAGAACTGTGCATGTCAAATATCACCGATCTCTTCCCACCCCCATCAACTGATTGGGAATGGTGGGTTCGGAAGAGTGCCTGAAGGCTTGTGTCTGAAGGCTTGTGTCACAGTATATAACAGACGGATAATGCCATCTCATCACCTTCATCGTGCATCTCGGAGGTCGAATTAGATCAGTGGACAGATCGTCTGGCTTCGAACCAGAAGGTCGTGGGTTCAATCCCCACATTCGACTTACATTTTCCATTTTTTGCCCTGGTGCATGTGATCTGGTGCGAATGCAACCCAGTAAATCCAATGGTTGTTAAATCAGGATCAACATGCTCTAGATCTAGAAGCTCTTGCAGCCTGCAGGCTGGCAAATTGCCAGTGGCAATGTTGGCCGAGATCAACCTATTGCATAAAATACTTCCTTGTTCATTAGAGGCCTGCCCTTCATCTTTGAGATCAAAATTTTCCAGTCTTACATGCATGCTCTTGGGCAAGACTGGCTCTTACATGTTTGTCTGAGCCAGACCACCCCGACCCATCATGTTGCTATGATTGCCCGCATAAAGAGAAGGCGGCCCCAGCAATACTTTGGTGTACATTTACCTGCTGTACATTAATTACACTTGTACTACAATTTACAGGTGGTCAGATCATGATTGTGCAATGCCATCTGTCCTCCTCTGCAGCTCAGCAGCAAAGTACTCCTCTGGTAAGACAGTGGCCGCGCCCCCGTAGAAGTCCAGCAGCCGCGCTTCCTGTACATGGAGCTCCCAGATGCTGAAACTGTGTCCTTTCTGCAGCACAGTCCTCGGTTGTCAGCACATGTCTGTATGTGTTTCTGGGCCACTTCATGGTGCGCTCATGGTGGCTTTGTAGTCTGCTCTCAGCAAATTCAAGCTGCTATCACACATGGAACTTCTCATGGGAGTGCGATTGCCATGCTGATACGGCCTTCTTCTCCTTCACCAACCAATTTGCACTGCGCGCTGTTGGGATACTGCCTGATTGTGTGTGGCTGCCATGATGCCACCCACATTTAACGATACTTCGAACAGTTGCAAGTGCTGATGCTGCAGACTCTAACTGACATGACATAGCCAAGGTTATTGAAGGTCTATGGCTCAGCAGCCTCTGCAAGGTGAAAGACTCATGCAGAGGAGCAACTGCATGGCTCTGCTAGCTGTAGAGCTGCATAATTTGGTGATGACCGAGCAAGCGAACAACAGCAGCTCACCGGCCAGGTCTTCATCTGGGGATGCCGCCTGAAAAGCAGCTGCTCTGCTTCCGCCACATCCTCTCCTGGCACAATCCGCATTTGCCCAGATATTGACACCTTTGCACACGTCGGGTCCTGCGCAATTTGCATCAATCAGAAACCTCAATTCATTATTCCCTGGTCCAGCGAGAAGGGATTGTGGAAGCATGCCCGTCTCCACAACTACGCATCTGAATCTGTACACAAATGTGTCGAATTACAATGCAGGAGAGAAGAGTGGCGTGTGTAGAACCGACCTCAGGATCCATCACTCCACAAGAGCCTGCCAACTGCACCTCACCCACTGTCAATGTCGCTGCCGAGTTCACCTGCAATCAACACATCATGAGGAACTGTCCACACGTGTCACAGGACAAGTAATGCATTGTTTGGCTGTGAGTAATGCTGGACTGGGAGAGGGAAGAACCACACACTGCTAGGTCAGTGGCTGTCGCATCCATTGGTGTTAGATAGAAGAGCAGTCGGCCAGTTGAATTACCCCTAGGACCATCGGCATATGACACCAGGTTCCTGTGGAAAAGCAGGTTCAATTAGTTGCTGCGGTGGGAATTCTGATGAGGCTTAGGACAGCACAGCAAAATGCTGGATGACTGTGTTGCCCAGACAAGAGCTGTCACCCGAAAGCAGTGCCAGCCAGGTGTTGGCTAGTCGTGCTCACAGTGCCCCAGTCATTCTCTGCTATGAGCCATCTGGCCATCTTTGCATGCTCTGCATGGTTCGGTCTGCGCACACGGTTGTTCTTGAGATGGCAAAATGTCATCCTTTGGGAACCTGCCAGCCTGCTGCTTCATTTGACACGCAATTCAACTATTGACAGTACTGCACAAAGAGATCCCCAGCAATGCACCTCTCATAGGCATGGCTTGTACTCCTCAAGTCAGTGCCTGAACTTTGTGTGCCATGCGCAATAGAGACGAAGGTGATCGCAAGCCAGACAATCACAGGACGTCCACGACACGGCATGTTCAGCCTTTCTTTCTCCGAACGCATGATGTACAAAGCATGAACTCACCTACCTTGCTCAAAGAACAATTAAAAGCTTGTTGATTGACATCTCCCGATACAAGCGTGTGCTGGCCATGCACTTGTCTTCTCTTGGGAATGTGCACCAAAGTCCGACACATGTGCAAGGGCAGGCTACAATTTATTCCGAGACTCAAGCATGCCATCCCTGCACATGATTGCACTGTTCTTAAGTTTTCAATGTACGGTACATGAACGGTGAGAAGGTAGAACAGAGTCATGGGGGCTCGAAGGAGGCGTCTAAACAAACAGATCGTGTTCGGGGAGGAAACAGATGAACAACCTGATCCCTTTCAGCCTGAGTCGAAGGAAAAGCCTGTCAAGTACAAGGATACATACGTAACGTCTGCGTCGGTTGTAGGAACAATTTTATCCATCCTTGCGTTTCTGGCAGTGGGCGGCTGGGCATTTCTAATTGTGGTGCACAGCACCATTTCAAGCTGAAGGTTCGCGAAATGCACCTGCTGTATGTGAGATTTGGCGTAAAACAGATTGGGTCTAAAACATGATACCATCGCCGATGCAGAACTGAATGCTGCTCACTTCTTCTTCATTGCCTTGCAGGCATGTTACTAGAAGATGTTTTGTATGGAGCGCTCACGAGTGGTGTCAATGTGCGAAACGCTTCTTCTCTTGTAGCGCATTCCTACTCTTATTGATCTCTGAAGCTTTTCTAAAGAGTTTCTCGAAGCAACAGCAAACGACGAGCCCCTGAAGATAATGCATGCTTGTGAACGCAGAAGCCAACAGTGCTGCTGTTGAACCTGGCATTGATCGGCTGCATCCTTTCACTTGGAGCTCTCTTGGCCCTCAGCATCAACGGTGCCCCAGCACTCGTTCCACACGTCGCCTTTCTTCTGTTTTTAGCCATCGGCCTGTTCTTCCTCATTAACTGGTAAGGACGTATGCTCATTGCCATGATTGACTGTCCGCTGTTGATATTACACTTCTCGAGTTAAATTCTGCACTTGTCCTGCTGTGTCCAGCAGGACTCACGATGAGATTATCTGTGTTGGGCAGGTTCCTGACTCAGATTGGCACAGTCGACAGTGCACAGCAGCGCAAAGAGCTGTTTGGCCCCAACGGTGCAGCCGGCAGCACAAGCCAGGCAGACAAGCAGCCTGCATCTGACCCTCTGCAGGAGACAGCACCAGCTACCATCAGCAGTACCAGCACGGGCATCAAGAAAATAGACTGAGTGGGCGCTGCACGAAGATGGCGCCAGTGCATGCCATGAGGAGACTCTGCACAGCTGGCGCCAGTGCAGCAGCTGCCGACACAGCGGCTTGGACCACAGAGCGGGGGGCATTTGGCAGCCTGACTGCTCTCTGGGATGCCCGCTCATCTGCCACAGGGCAATTTGCAGCGCAGTGGCTGGGGCTGCTTTGCAAGCACCGGGCATTTCCTGAATGCGCAGCAGAGCCTGCAAAGGAGCAGCAGATGGCAAGTGTCACAGGACAGCAGCCCAGCGGATGTCAGGAAAGCTTCAGGTCTGGTGGCAGAACACCATCCAGCAGTGCTCAAACAGCACATGCTAGCAAGCGGCGCTTTGGAGGTGCAACCACAGAAACCAGTCAGAGGCCAACAGGTTCCTCTGCAGTCTCAGGCGGAAGCACATTTGCTGGTTATCCTGACAGCAGGCATAGCATGGCACGCCGCACGGGCAACCTGCTAATAGACAGATTTACCCTGTCACAAGGGAGGACAGCAGGATTCAGTGCAAGTCTGGGAAGAGCGAGGGGCATCAAAACGATGATCGGGGGGCAGGAGGTCGAGGGCAGGAAGACTGTGGCAGTGGGCCTGTCCGGTGGCGTTGACTCCGCCGTGGCGGCTTGGATGCTCAAGCAGCAAGGGTACGTCCGTCATATCATTACACACTTTTATGTACTTGCCTATAGAAGTTCGGAGAGGCAGAATGACATGACTTGGTCTGTGGTGATGGAGGTATGCAGTTGCAGCCGCGTGCTTTTGGGACTCCTTGTGAACAACCAGAAGTTGATGTCAGACAGAAGCACAGCAACCGAGATCCTATGCTTAATCTTACTTGCACATTTGTGTTGTCTCATCTATGGTCCATCTTACTGGCTGTTATTGGACAGCACTTTGATTAGGTGGCATGTCTTGACATGTGCAGGCATGAGGTCATCGGGGTGTTCATGCGCAACTGGGATGAGTCGGAGGAGAGGGGTGAGTCAGCCTGCTCAGCGGAGGCTGACTGGAACGCTGCGCAGACCGTGGCGAACCACCTCAGCATCCCCATCCACGAGGCCGATTTTGTGCGCCAGTACTGGACGCAAGTCTTCTCAGAGTTTGTCTCCCAGGTAACGATTGTGTCTTTCGCACTCCTTTGCTCAACAGGTTCATGTAATGTGTGAAAGCTCGACTCTGTAGAGATGTTCAAGGGTGTGTTCTGAAGCTGCCTGTAGGTGCTCATAAGATTACCGTACCTTGCCAGTTGTGCCACAATGTCACACTTTGGTGGTTTTCAGACATGTGCTGTGATACGCAAATCCACGCTCTTGTCTGCAGTGCCGGCTTTCGCCTTTATTCACACTCATGTCAAGCAGCAAACAACATTTCCCAGACTCTGCAAACAACCCTGGACTGCCACCTGGCCTAATGAGCCCAAGCAGCCTTATCCAATGCACATGTTGCTGTTGTAATCTGAGGTTTGAGCGAGATTGTTTCGTTTTTCTGGAACTGAGGAGCTGAGGAAGTGACTCTGTGTTTGTCTTTTGCACAGTGCAGTCAGGGGCTGACGCCCAATCCAGACCTGGCATGCAATCGCCACATCAAGTTCGGAGCTCTGCTGGACTTCTGCCGCGGACTGGGCGCTGACTGTGTGGCCACTGGGCATTATGCACGCTTGGCAAGGTGCATTCCTACCTGCCACATTTATTTAAGATACGGTATTTTTTTTATTTAGGGTTTAGGTTTAGGGTTGA